CAGGAATGGACATGTGGAAAAGGTGACAACAGTTAGAAACTGAGTGTGGAGCACCAGGTACACACAGAATGGCACAGTGCAGCGAACGGGGTAGCCTGCGAGGTGAGTGCAATGCTTGTGAATGGTCTCAAGCACTAGGCAGAACTGCTAGCGATCTGTTAGTATTTTTATGATCGCATTTCATCAAATAAAAATGAGCACTCCTAGTTGCTGGCCACAGAAGAATGCGAGGTATGTTAAGAACCACTAAAGGAGCGGATGGACAACATGCGGGTGAGTTTCTACTTGCGACTGAAAACGGTTATCCAAAAGGCCGATAATTTAGGCTTCAAACAGAAATTGGTAGAGGCCCTATAAACTTTCTAGTCAAAAGGAGCAAGACAATAGAGAATGTTTTTCCTCTGAAATAAAATGCATGTATGTTAATACTAAGATACAAATTAGGGGAGAAAATGAGAGAAGACATTCTTCCTGTTAGGTAATAGAAATTCTAGAAAAAAATTATTTGGTTTATATTTGTTTGCAGTTACTTTTTGTTCAGTTCAATAGAATGACTCACCGAGTCTCCTCTGAATTTTAATGCACAAAACGGACTACCATAACCACCCAATGTACATGAGATGGTCATAGATGAGTGTATATGTGTGTGGATCAGTGTAGGATACGTTAAAGGAAAGAGCGTACTCTGATTTCTAACAAAGACGGCTGTGCAATGAAATTGGCATGTTATTTAAGAGTTTAAAATTTGGGGCCAGCAGGTGGCATAGTGGTTGAGGTGTTGAACTCTCACATAGTCAACCACAGTTCGAGTACTAGACTCAGTGGCTTGAAACTCATGCCGGGCATGTGTCCATGTGTGCACACGATCCTGAGAGGGGAATGGAGGAGAAGGCATTGCAGTGTGGCCATCCCCCTTTGGGGGAAATTTCTCACTTTCTCTCTCTCTGTCTCTCTGGCAAGCGCATGTGACTTATGGGCAAAAGTCTCTCCAAAAAAGAAAAGGTTTAAAATTCATAGAACATGTCATTGACACCCAAATATACTGCTGTGTCGGCACATGCAGTCTCTAAATAAAACTTGAGTTAATAAAGAAAGTCGTTATTTGAAGCCTGAGTGGAACAAACTACTAAACAATTCCCACCAGGCTTTGCCGGGGCCTCCCTCTGGTGAGAATCTGGGAATTGGAGATGTGACTCTCACTAGCAAAACTAGACATCGAGATCCACAGAGAGTCCTGATTTTTTTTCCCCTTTATTCATATCCCTAGTGGTAAACAAAGTCTTTCAGAGTGGGAATATTCTGGAAGTATATTATAGTGGAACTACCCAGAGATTTTAGTGTATTTGACAGGCCAGGGTTTCACTTCCAACTCTGTCATTTACTATTTTGGGCCAAGTACTTAAACCTCCTGGTCCTGTTCTTTTCTTTTTTTTTTTTTTTTCTTATTGGAGGGGCATGAGGAACTCAGAGAGAGCCAGTTGTGAACTCACACTGTCTAGGAGCTGGGTGGTTCCCCAGCTCTAAGGGACTATTATTGCCATCAGTGTTGAGGTGCTCTTCTATTTGAATTAGACCAAAACGAACTGCAAACAAATACAAATCTGCTCTACAACTGTAAAAATCATCTGACTGTTCCAGGACAGAAACTGTCTAAACATTTTGAATTTTTAATCAATGAAATAGAAAGTAATCCCAATGCATGATTTTGGAGAAAGCACACAGGAAGTGTCTGAGGCCATTAACCACCTGGTACAGAAGTGAAAGTACCAGTTGGTGGCTATATTAGGCGTTCAGCTTCTTTTCTCCAAATGATACCTATCTCTCCTGCTAATGATATGTTTTAGGAATCAAACAACATTCGCCTATTTTTCTTACATGAAGAGACTAGCCTCACTTACCGGACGTCCAAACTCCAGTTCTGAAAAGAATTTATACCAGGGCTCATTTTCTAAATCTATGTCATCTGGATTTATGCGATCAGTCTAGAGCAGGTGTGAAGGAAAAGGGGGGAAAAGGGCACACTGAGCCAAGTGAGGGAAACGCGGAGGGGATGAAAACGCGCGCGCTCTCACACCTAAGCATGCACTGCCCTCATCCGACCAATCTCAGCAGGGGAGAATGGAGGGAGTGGAGTGAATACAACTGGAGTAAGAAGATAGTATTGCTTGGGCCCCTACCGAGCCCTCTCCTAACTTTCTCCTAGCTTGAGGCACACACTACAGAAAACTCTGATGGCAGTGACAACGGGCATGGGGGGTGCACCTGGGTATTAGAATCTGCTCAGCCAGTCACCAAGAGGCTTATGGGCAGCCCACCATTGTCCCGCCCTCCTTGGTGACCCGCAGGCTATTTGCAGGCCACAAGCTCAGCGCACCTGGGGCGGGCTGGGGGTGGGAGAGGCAGTAGGAGTGTGAGCTGGAGGCTGGGAGGGGTCTCTTGGTTTGAAGTATCTGGGGCACAATGAGAAGGCAGAGGGGAGGCTGGGGAGGGGGCGAGTGGCCAGCCTCTGACCACACCTTCTCGGCCTCTGGAGAACATGGTCTCCTGATCTTCCAACAGGCAGTAGAGGAGTTAAAGAAGGAAGGAGCTCACCCGGATGGGAGAGAGAGCCGGGGCACACATGCTTGGTGTGGGGACCCCACTCCTGGGCGGAGGGGAGGGGCTACCAGTTACGTCTCCGTAGGGTGAAATGGAAGGAGGCTTCCGGCCAGGTTCCCGTGGGACAGGTGTCGGAGGTGCTGGGAGAGAGGGCTGTAAGAAAGAGGGGTGAAGGAGAAACTGATTCATTAGACTGAGGTTCGCGACAGCAGAGAGGACATCAGCTAGCAGGGACCAGCCTTAGGGCACGTGGGAAGACACGGTTCAGGTAGGCCAAGTGCCCTGGGGATGCCACTTTGGACCACTGCAAAGATCTCAAGGTCAGAGTCTCTTGGAGAGTGAAGAAAGTCACATTGTATGAGATGTCTGGAAAATCACTTTCTACCTGCCTGCTTTGAGCTATTATAGAAAAAGGGATTTGGCTGGGGTTAAGTTTGCCCAGTGCTGAGGGTTGGGAAGAGGCTGTAAACTAAAATCCCACCTTGGTTTCCTTATGCTGCTTTAGAGAAAAAAGCCAGGGGTTTTAATCTACTTGCTCCCCTCCATTGGTTCCTAAGTGTAGTATTTGAGATAGAAAAACTAAGAGTGTTAATACAAACAGTTTGAGAAAATACATACAATTACTTTAGTAATAGAAAACAGATACAAGCATTTACTTCCCCCAGTGGGGTCCTAATGCTTTCAAATAATACACGCCTGACTAGACTGATTCAAGCTGTTTATTTTATATTAAAAATGAGTGTTTAAAGTCCTAGATGCAAGGGGCCAGCAGACACCATGGAGGTTAAGACACTGGATCCCACATGGCTGACTCCATGGTTTGAGTCCTGGACCTGGCAGTTTGAAAATCACACTGGGTATGTGTGCCCATGTGGCCCAAATCCTGAGAGCAGAATGGAGGAGAAGGGATTATGGTGTAGCCCTCAGCACATGGGGAGTGATTTCTCACTTTCCCTCTCTTTGTCTCTCTCTGGCAAGTGCATGTACCCTATGTTATGGCAAAAATCTTAAAAAAAAAATAAAAAGAATTACATGTGGGTCATTATTCATTATTTCTTCAGCAATTATTGCATGACACTAAATATTGGGTTGTTGGGAAAGTCGTGACATATTTTTGCAAAGAGAAACATGTCATAACCTTCCTGACAATCTAATAAATATGGTACAACTGAACAGCACAGTATTTTATTTTTTTTTGGAGAGGCTTTTGCTATAGGGCATGTGTGCTTGCCAGGAGAATAGCATAGTATTTTAAGTCGGAAAATAAAAGTTCTAAGAAATATGATCTGGTCCCCTAAAAGCTATACATCCAGGTCAAGGGAGGATCTGTAATTCCCAGACATTTGCAGCCATATTGAAGCTCACTGCATCAAAGTCATTCCCTATAATTTCCTCACAATTCTTAAAGGGACTCAAGGACTTCCACTGAGGCTCTGCTTCCTGGTCCTGAAAGAAATGCTCTGAAATTTTTAATGTTGGGGGCCTTGAAATATTCTATATTCCAGCAAAAGCCATTATTTCCACATGAGCGGGTGCTAGTGTTTATTCACTTGTATTTATAATAGTATTGCTAGAGATACCAATCTCTGTTCGGTAAGTGGTACCTAGTGTTTTTAATGATGTGGTGTTTTTTTCTGTATTTATAATAATATATTATAATAGTAACTGTAGATAATGACAGAAAAGTTTGAGGCATCATACCAGAATAGTACAAGAACCTAAGTTATCTAAAATAGACAGTGATAGTAACTATAAAGATAGTCTAGTAACCCTGGGAAATGTTTATGATGGGATGAAATAAAAAAGAATATAACCATCTGGAGAAGTCCCTTCCTTCTTTAACTTTTCTAGTTGTACAGTATTTACTATGGTATGACAAAGTTTTTATTTGGATGAACACATTTTAAAAAATACACACATATGGGCCCAGCAGTTGGCATAATGGCTATGTCGCTGGCTATGTCGCTAGACTCCCATGTAGTCGACTGTGGTTCCAGTCCCGGACCCAGTGGCTTAAACTCACGCCAGACGCGTGTGCGTGCGTGCCCAAGATCCCAAGAGGAGAATGGAAGAGAAGGGATTGCGGTGTGGCCAACCCCCACGGCGGGGGGTGGTGATTTCTCACTGTCTCTCTATCTCTCTCTGTCTTTTTGGTGAGTGCATGCACTCTATAGCAAAAACCTCTCCCCCCCCCCAAAAAAAAAAATACACACATGTAAAAGACTACAATGGTATTCTGGTATTGAGACCGTTTTTTCTTTTAAATATTATATTGCTTTTATGTTGTGATATTATTTTTGTAATAAATAAAAATCAGAGAAGATTTCCTACTATTAGGTATGGGAAAATATTGCAGGAACTTGAGATATTTTCTTTTATACAATATTAATTTTGGTTTACATTTCAGAAGTAACAGTGAAACTGGTAGGAAAGAAATATTCTGTCGGGTTGTTGGAAAAGTCATGATGTATTTTTGCATACAGAGACATAGAAAAAATACATCATGATTTTTCCAATAATTCAGTAGTAACAAATTTGCTATTTTCAGCTCAGCTAAAAAATCTGATTCAACTTCCATTTGATTCAATCATTTCAAAGCATGAATTGACATTCCGTTATTATTAAAATATTTTTCTCCAATCATTATTTAGATCTTTATGGGATGACTGATTTTAAGGACAACTGACATTAGAGAGAATGTCTAGTAATTTCTGATCTGTTGAGAGAGGCATGCTATGTCCTCCACAGAAAAATTAATTTTGGGTGTTCTCACACTTCATAGTTTCTAGTGGTTTCTGTTTAATGATCTTTTCATTTCTTGAGTTTATAGACTGTGCTTTCAAATACAGCGTTTTGTTTTGCTAAGAGGAGATAGAAACTTCTCTGACAGAGGAAATGAATTTAGAAAAGATTATGATTGGCAGAGGGCAGCAAATTTACTAAACAAAAAAGTATATTTATTAGCTCTTATACCTTCACTTTGACTCCTACCTTAAGAAAATATGTAACGGGAACCAGCAGTTAGTGTAATGGCTATGTCGCTGGACTCCCACATAGTTGACCGCGGTTCGCGTCCCGGACCCGGTGGCTTAAAACTCACGCCAGGCGCGTGTGCGTGCGTGCCCAAGATCCTGAGAGGAGAATGGAGGAGAAGGGATTGCGGCGTGACCATCCCCTCTGGGGGGTGATTTCTCGCTTTCTATCTCTATGTCTCTCTCTGTCTGTCTGGTGAGCGCACGTGCCCTATAGTGAAAACCTCTCCAAAAAAAAAAAAAAGAAAAAAAAAGGAAAAAAAAAGAAAATATGTAACGAATGAACATTCAGAGGCCTGATTTACAGAAATACATTTCTGTGGTAGATGATGGAAAAGGAAGCAGGCTCTGTAGCATTCCACACCATCCCTTTGCATGACGATTGCCCATTAATTTTGATTTTGGGGATTAAAAATTCAATTTATTCACTCTAGGAAACTATCTAGAAGCCCCAAAACAGTAACTGGTAATTACCCATAACTTCGTGATGTAATGGAAGGTGGACGCTTGAGCAGAACCCTTACGTCGAAGAGCATGAAGTGGCAGATCTAGAACTTTCTCTCGGCTGTGGCTGACCCAGTGAATCCCGTTAGTTGTACAACTGTTACCTGTAGATGTAGCAATCCGGAACCACCGCTAAGTCTGCAGATACCTCACAACAGGGACGTGCATCCGGATGGTCTGACAACAGACGTGTCCGCACACGGATGACCTCAGCACTGCAACCCTTGCTATGTGCAACATGGACATTTCTCTGAGCGTGGTAGTAATATGGACACTCAGAAACTCACTGAGGAAGTACAATTATGCTTGACTCTAATTGCTCAGAAAAGAGGAACAGAGAGTGATGCACACCTTTCTTATTTTGCTGTTGTTGGTTTGTTCTTGTCATCATTATTATATTTTTCATCTCTGCCATAGGGTGCATGTGCTCACCAGCGAGAGACAGAGAGAGAGAATGTAAAAAGTCACCCTGTGGGGAGATGGATAGGTTGAAATTCCTTTTCCTCCATTCTTCTCTCCAGATTTGGGGCATGCTCGCACAGGTGCCTGACATGATTTTGAAGCCAGCGGATCCCAGACTTGAACCATTGTCAGCCATGAGGGAATTCAGAGACTTAATCACTATGCCACTTGCTTTCCTCTGGTTTTTGTCTTTTTTTTTTTTTTTAAGAGGTTTTTGCCTTAAGGTACATGCGCCAGAGAGAGAGAGAGAGATAGTGAGAGGGAAAGTGAGAAATCACCCCCTAATGAGGCATTCACACAACAATCCCTTTCTTTCCATTCTCCTCTTGAGATCTTGGGCACTCACGAACAAAACTTGGCATGAGTTTCAAGCCATTGGGCCCCAGACTCAAACCATGGTTGGCCATGTGTGAGTCTAGCAATGTAACTGCTATGCCATCTGCTGGCCCCAATGTTTCTTGTCATTTTTAAAAACCCAGTAAATTTGACTTAAAACTGACTATGGTGGAGCCAGCCAGTGGCTTGTGAGGTATGCAGGGTGTGTGTCTGTGCAGGTCCGGAACCCAAAGGGGAGAAATGGAGGAGAAAGGATTGTGGCATGGCCATCCCTCATGAAAGATGCTTTCTTGTTCTCTCTCTCTTTCTCTCTTGTCTGTCTTTTGCATATTGAAAAAAAGGCTTGAGCGAAGCACTACAATGCAAAATCACATACAAGTGATCCTTAAGAAAAGCTACCAATGGCAAACAATTTTTAAAGTCCTTATGTTTTCTGCAATTGAATTTCTGCAGTTACAGAAATTCCACTGCTATTCATATTCTCATGGAGGTGTATGCTTTATGTTTTTACAAACAAAAAGAAGTGTCAGCATACCTTTTCTTGAGAATTTATGCTCATTAGATGATATGATCAGTGGCATTGGCTACTATGCTTAATATTATTGTGGCTCCACCATAAGTGTTATTACACATGGTTAATTGGGATAATTCCTTTTTTATTTCAGTTAATTTTTTTAAGAGAGATTTTTTTTTCTATAGGGTATGTGTACTTGCTGGAAAAACAGAGAGGGACAGAGAGACAGAAAGTAAGAAATTACCCCCCAGGGGGGATGGCCATGCTACAATCCCTTCTCCTCTATTCTCCTCTCAGGATCTTGA